TAAATATATTACATATCTTTTTCATCGCGATATTACCACGCTAATGTGGAAATTTTACAACCTATTATAAGAAAACATTTGCATAAAATTCAAGACAGTACACAGTTTCAAAGTGTCTTTGATAAGAAGATCCATACAATAGCATTAATCAGTAACAGGAACATTGGAGAAATCGCAAAGAAATACTGATATAAATTAACTGGACAATAATAACCAAAGATGAGGGGTGACACGGGAGTACTCATTTACCAAATCCCGCTTTTTGTTATTTTTTTTCTACATCCAACATGTTTTCTTTTCCCCCAAGATCCCATATTATACCCCCTTTTTATCTCACATCCCAACGTTTTAACCCCCTATATCCCACACCTCAAAAGGTGGGTCCTTGACAATATGAAATGCGTACTAAATCCTTTATCAATTGGAATAAAATTGCAAAAACTAGTAATCCATACCAAACCTTACATTTAGAACGATCATAAGACACTCTAACAAACTTTCAAAAAATGAATAGTAAAAGACGACCTCTGAAGATAGTTTCCTCTGCAGGTAAGGATTGATGCAAAAAATTATTATTCAAACACATTATTCAGAGACATATATAGTTATATTGGCGAGAGGTTATACTGGCCAATCTCGGGTTACATATAAGTCTGAAAAATACCCAGTCATTTCCAGTATTTTACCAAAGTATACAAATCCACTCACGAATCACTCCGAGTCTCGACATTATTTTCATTCAACAATTTACTGAAATAAGTTATCCGGGTTGACATGAATATGTAACTGAATAGTATTTTTATATGTCCTAGCGTGAATTACATAAAGATGTTAGAAGACGTGGATGTTGGATTCCATTTGAATTTAAATGTTTCATCAAAACTCGGATGAGTGCGATAATCAGAAAAATCTGAAATAGGAGACGATTTCTCATGTGCAAGAATATGTCACATTTCCAAGCGAGATAACCCAATCTGTTTATATTGGACAGTAGATAATTAACGATAACTCTTAACTCCTTCCAATAGATGTCGTTGCATTTACTAATCTTGTAAAATACAACAGAGACGTGTCTCTGATAAAAATTAATTAGCGTCTTCACGGGAGTTATAAATTACGATACTTGAGTTAGTGGTCTTTAAAAGGACTATGATATTGAGATCAAAACCGCGTCGAGATTATAAATCAATGCACGAAGGGGAAATTATTTTGAAAAATTAGGGAAAAAATCCATATTTTTTGTTAATTGATCTTGAATGACATCTTTTAACAAACAGTCATAAAACGTATCTCATGAGTTTTGATGTTCATATATCTTAAAAAATACCATCTAGGAGGTTATATGACATCCTTGTTACCAAGAAATTTAATATTTCCATTATTCTTATGCAACACAGCTGACGACAAAATTGGTCCGAACCGTAGCTTATTGCAGTTTAATCACCATTAGTAATGAAATTATATGGCATACTATCAGCTGTGTTTTTTATAAACATATTAACACCAGCAAACACAAGTTTGTCCAGCTTTCTAACAATAGGCTATATATATATATTCATTTCAGTACAATCATTCAATTATGCCTTGGACAAATAAGTTTGCTTTAAAATGATGCTATATATGTCTTGGAAGAAATAACTTACAAGCTAGATGTTTTTCATTTTTTAAATGTTTTATGTAAAAACGGCTTATTAGACCGTTGGTTTTTCCGTTTGAATGGTTTTACACTAGTAATTTTTTGGGGCCCTTTATAGCTTGCTGTTCGGTGTGAGCCAATGCTCCGTGTTGAAGGCCGTACCTTGACCTATAATGGTTTACTTTTATAAATTGTAACTTGTATGGAGAGTTGTCTCATTGGCACTCATACCACATCTTCCTATACCTATAAACATATCTCAACCATCTTTAGTTAGGTAAGGCGTAAGCAGACAAAAAGGTTTAATAAATCAAATTTAGAAAATTGGTGAAAATTAAAGATATAAATTCTAAGACTAAATAATTGGAGAATAAGTCATTCAACAGTTAAAATATATTTTTATTGATATTGATAAGTAGAGCTCTCTCTCTGATTGATAAGTGAAAAGATTTATCAATTGTAGTAACTATAGACATCATCATGAAGCGAGTTAGGTCGCAAGCGCTTTTATAGTGGGTCTCCCTTTTTATGTGTGTTTAGGAGTAATTCTTATTTGAAAATTTTCTTTCATATTTCAACTTATTTTCACTTATCTAAAAAATTTTAACTGCTATCAGTGCGATTTAATATTTCCAACAGTGCAAGAAAGGTAGAAAATTTGCCTGAATTAAGTCACGGATAAAAATTCACAGGACAATAAGGGATGATATTAAAAGTTCAATGTAGGATAAACAAACTTAATTCACATATTTGTTTTCACTAACCCCCACCCCCTCTTAACTTAATTTGGGAAAAATTGATTGACCAATACAGATATATGTAAAATCGATGTCAAATAAACAAAACTTGCAGCAATTTTTACCCACCCCACCCCCAAACTATTTGAATTAAGTTTTTTATCCTACATTGATCTTTTGATGTCGTCCCTAAATCAAATCTCATTTATGCGATTCATAGTTTGTCTTTGATAAATAAATCGCCTTTAAAAAAAAGCAATTTACATTGTTCATGAACAAAAATTTGGGAAACATTTTTCTTGTTTGAGATTTTTTTCCACACAGCAAGACAGATGGAAAATTTAAGTTAAAAAAAATCAGGGACACAAATTCGTCGGACAAAACTAAATTAATAAATATAAGTTAGTTTTTATGAGTCGTGGCATATGCACCAGACAAAAGGTGTTTTGAAATAAAAGGAAACCCCAACATATCAACGAAGAAGGGATTCTTGAGCTGTGCATAAGATTAAATCTTGTCACCAGGTCTTCAGCAATCGGCTTTTTAATATTCATTTACAATGACAACACATTCATCATTATAACAGAAACCAACATTCAATGTGTTGTAAGCGTTACATTTTTTCACACAAGAACATTTTGAACAGTGTATTTCTAAAATGACTGAGAGATAACTTACATGTGTTTTGTATTGCACCATGAAGTAATTAAAAAAAAAACCAATATATATAGAAAATGACAAATTAAAAGAAGAATTAGAAAACTAAAGGCAGCAAATTAAACTATCTATACATAGATAACAATAATCAATTTACTTCCATGGTCAAACTAAAGAGCGAGGAACGCGATTCCCTAAAAAAAGAGTGATTTGAAAGATTTTTTGCATTCGTTTGCGAATTCTCAAATTTGTTTTAATAGTTCCACCACATTGGTGTAATGTCATTACAGGATGATACTTCCACAACAAACCGTACATACATTCATTACATGTACATATGTCACCAATTAACACAAGTTGTATTGTATCAGATTCAATTTAATAAAACAAACAGTGGCATCCTGTTGAGCATATATAAGACATCGTAATTGGAGATAGGAAAGACAATCAAGCGACAGGGTGCCTGCTGATAATAAAATTCGTTTGACAATGTATCAATTTCGAACTTTTTTAATATACCATCTTTTCATTTTCTTTAAATATTATCGTAATACAAATGATGGAAAAATGTTTTACGGGTGAAAGAAAAATTGAACAGCGAATCGTTTATTATTATTTAAATGTAAATGTATACTTTATCATTTATCATTAAATACGTTTCACCAAATATGAATAAAAAAATATCTTTATAGTCTCTATTATATGAAATTATACGAACTAATAACTATCATGAACAAGAACCCTTATAGTAAAACTCCAGTATGTCCTTTGAACAGATGAGTTATCCCGGCGAATACAATTAAATATAATTAAATATAATTTTATTTTGTATTCAATATTTATCGTTTCTATTTGAACAATAAAAAATAGCCGCAGTGAACACTTTGAATTTGAACTTAATATGTATTGTTTCATTTATTTAAGAATAACCGGAATTTATTTTACATGTATAACAGTATGATCTCGCTAATGTACGTTGTTTTCGTATATTACATTTGTGTTGGTTATTTTTTTTCAAAGACAACTTTTCAAAACGCCGGAGACCTAAGAATTTCTTAATTTAAACTGACTTTTCTGACATCAAAATATAGCTTATTGACAGGAGTATTCAACAGTATGTGTTAATAGTATTTCCTCCGCATATTAAGTGTGCTTCAATTTTTTTAGTTACTGCTGTCACGTTTCTTTTGAGGTAATTCATCGATATTTACTGATGTGAGTAAGGGAATTTAGATAATGAAATTTCAAAAAATCGGAGACCTAACAATAAGATAAGATAAACTAGAAACTAGAAAGGTAAATCTATGTAGAATTCGGTCGTATGTGTTAATAAGAATTCAGATGATTAATAAAAATAATATGAAGAATTAATGAAGGGTACCCATTTATTTTCCCATTACTTTCTATGTTAATCGAACATCATTAAAAACATTGCACCCCGGGTGTCGCTGATAATGGTAATCGGCCATTAGTGTCCTTCATTCTTGGGTATGTTTAATTCCAGGAGAGGTACTACTTATAAAAATATTCCACATCGATTCGGGTAGTTGGAATATATAGGTCCTTCATTTTTTAACAGAACTTGATACGAATCAAATTTAAATGTGAAGATATCCACTCATAAAATCCAAGAGTGAGAATATGTGGAGGTTGTGGGGTATTTGAATTCTTTCATTACTCCAAACCAAGAAATTATTTGTATCAAGGATTTTTATAAACCGTTGTTTATATCCTTATGCTCATAAGCTGTAGGTCTAGTGAAAATCTCACTGATAAGTTCTCATTATAAAAAGTAACAAAGAGCATAATGGAAAAACACATAAAAGGTGAAAAGACATCTAGTCCATTTACCTAATGTTAAACATTGACATTGATATGTGTCCACACTCAAGGGTATTTCCACTAACCAAGACATTAGGAAAAATCCCGAAATTACCGAAAGAGATAAATGATTCACGCATGCGGAAACAAACGGAAGATGTTATGGCAGACAAAACATCAAAAGCTATGGGATCGGGCTCAAAACCCGTTCCCATGAAATTATTTGCAACTTGGGAAGTAGAAAAAACACCACCCAATTGTATACCAAGGTTTGTGACCCTTGTCAATCTTCTAATGTATGGAACAGGTATTCATATCGCTGCACAAGTTATCGTATAGTCTGCAACTATTTGTCAATGTTCGATTCTCTGTCTGACTGTTGTTGGTCCTGTCGTTCACCTATTGTTTCTTGCATATTTAAGTGTGTACAGTGCATAATTAGATCGACGAAATGTTCACCTTTCAACTTCGTTTTTGTTAAGACGTGTATGGAATATGAGTGAAAAGTTCGCAAGACAGTTCCGTTTTAAGATAATGAGACAGAATACTGAGGGCATCAGTCAAGTTTTGTATGCTTGCACACTTTTTAAATCCTTGCACTGCACTGACATACAATGAATATTTGTATAAGCTAATAAGAGGCAGGTGTTACCATAATCTAAAAAGGGATCAGTGTTACCTCAGAAAGAGGAAGTTGTTGTAATAAGTATATAAATTATTGTTGTTGATATTGGTCCACAGGAGTTTGAAATCCTAGCAATAAAGGTGTATAAATATGCCAAACTCGACTATCACAGTAGAGCTAAAGGAAACGTGTTTACGTTTTAAGAATGTCACTTTATTTTTTAGGAAACAACAATAGAAACTTGTTTATAGCAATTACTTAAACACAATTTAAAATTGTATTCAACAGTCAGGGGTACTACTTAAACAAGTGATTTCAGAATCACTCCCTCGAGTGATTTTGGCTGTGAAATATTAAAAATTTTCACACACACTTTTTAAAATCACTGAAACAAGTAATTTTAGAAGTTAAAATGTAATCACTTTAATAAGTGTTTATAACATTTTCTTGATATTTTTCCCACAAGCTTGATTTTTTTATTGGTAAAAAGACAACAATTCCATTGAAAAAACAACTATGTATATGCAGAAATTGTCTTTTGCTTGATAAGCCTGACACTTTTTCAATTTTTTTTAAATATGCAAAAACTGATAGTTTGTAGATCAGGTCATAACCTTGAAGTAGATCATTCTAACTCTAAAGAAAACCAATCAGGTTACCTAATATTGTTGATCTTTGTCTGATAGTAAGAGTAGTTAATGAATTTTTGATTACAGAAAAATTCCCAAGGGTACTTTTAAAAGCTTTAGCGCACTAACTTACTGCCCAAGCGCACTGGTGAAATTAATATACAAAGAAAAAGGGATAATTGATTTATGTAGGAAAATTATGGAAAATATTGTGAAAATATGGAAAATCAATGAAATTAGCATTTGAAGATCAAAGAAAACACTAAAATCACTTAAATAGGTGATAACTGAATTTATCAAATCACTGAAATAAGTGATGATGAAATCACTTGTTCAAGTAGCACCCCTGACTGTTCAACACAAAACCAATAAAAAGGGTGCAAACGGACCCAGGGTGTGAACATGTGGGATGGGAACGTGAATGGGAGCAAACATGATTTTTGGGCGAACAGACCCGGATTCATTTCTTAGTGCATTTCTTTTAGACAAAAATTTCAACTTAACATTAAAAAAATCTCACCTGTGATATCTCAAAAAGATTTTTACAGTGTAGTGTACTACTTTTGGGACAAATTGTAATATCAAAATTATAGAAAAGTCTAACAACTCTTACTCAAAATATCGACATTTCTTTGTTAAAGGTGGTCTATGATTCAGTTTGACAGCTTCAGTTATACTAATTTTTGACCTTTTAAAACTCAACCAAAATACTACTTTACCCAAAAATTCATAACTCATTTTTTTCAACATGTAAATTGTAATTTCACCCCCTACTTAATGTTTTATGCAGGAAATATATAGAAATAAATTTGGTAGGTGTATGAAAAAATTTGCAGTTATACACTGTCCCAACTAGGGACTTTATTTGTAGGCAACACAAATTAAAGGACGATAACTGTGTCCTCAGACCTATTGTGTTTTACGAACATATCCTTAAAAGCTTATTTATATAAAAAAAAAAAGATGTGGTATGATTGCCAATGAGATAACTCTCCTACAGAGACCAAATGACATAGAAGTTAACAACTACAAGAAATGTATATGTCACCATAGGGCCTTCAACAATGAGCAAAACCCATGCCACATAGCTATTAAAGGCCAGAAATGACAAATGTAAAACAATTCTAACGAAAAAACTAATGGCCTGATTTATGTACAAAACAATGAACGAAAAAAACAAATATGATATACAGCATTTAACGACAACCATTGTCCAATGAATAACAGTGTCCTGACTTGGGACAAGCACAAACAGAATGTGGCGAGGTTGAACAAGTTTTCTGGCGCCAAACCCTCCCCCTTACCTGGGACAGTGGTGTAACAGTACAACATAAGAACAAATTATGTACATGTATATTAGATTGTGAAAATCATGCACCTTGGAAATTACTGACAGAAAAAAAAATTGTCAAAGATATTGGATTTATATATATATTAGTATTTACCCCTCATCACCAAATGGTTTGCACTGATTCTGTCCACACTGGGTCAATCCCACTCCAAATTTTATACGCCCGTCAATTTTTGACAGGAAGTATTATGGTATACAAATGTCCGGTGTCCGTCCGTCTGTCTGTCCGGCGTAAACATGTCGCACCGTAACTTGAGAATGACTTATCCAAATTTCATGAAACTTAATATAGTTGTTTCTTATGATGGTCAAACGATCTGTATACTTTTTGGTGAAAATAAGATTAAAACTTTTTGAGTTACGAGACTTAGTAACTAAAACAGGTGTGTGTTTTTTTTCACATGTCGCGCCGTATCTCAAAAACAATTTATGATTATTGCTTAAAACTTTACACACTTCTTAGTTATATTAATCTTAAGATCTGTATACTTTTTGGTGATGATTCAAAATTTTATTTTAGAGATATTGAGTATTTTGTTAAAAAAAGGGGGAGAGGTTTTTCGCATGTCGCACGGTATCTCAAAAACAGTTTATGATTATTGCTTAAAACTTCACACACTTCTTTGTTATAATAACCTTAAGATCTGTATACTTTTTGGTGATGATTCAAAATTTTATTTTTTAGTTATTGAGTATTTTGTAAAAAAGGGGGAGGGGTTTTTCACATGTCGCGCCGTGTCTCAAAAACGATTTATGATTATTGCTTAAAATTTTACACACTTCTTAGTTATATTAATCTAAAGATCTGTATACTTTTTGGTTTTGATTCAAAATTTTATTTTTGAGATATTGATTTTTTTTTTTTAAAAGGGGGGTTTTCACATGTCGCGCCGTATCTCAAAAACGATTTATGATTATTGCTTAAAATTTTACACACTTCTTAGTTATATTAATCTAAAGATCTGTATACTTTTTGGTTTTGATTCAAAATTTTATTTTAGAGATATTGAGTTTTTATACGACCGCAAAAAAATTTTTGTGGTCGTATATTGGTATGACGTTGGCGTCGTCTTCGTTCGTCGTCGGCGTCGTCCAAAGACACATTGGTTTTCGCACTCTAACTTTAGTTTAAGTGAATGGATCTCTATGAAATTTTACCACAAGGTTCAATACCACAAAAGGAAGGTTGGGATTGATTTTGGGGGTTATGGTTCCAACAGTAAAGGAATTAGGGGCCAAAAAGGGGCCAAAAATAAGCATTTTTGTAACTTCCAGACATAACTTGTGTGTTAGTGTATGGATCTCTCTGACATTGTACCACAAGGTTCCATATCACAAAAGGAATGCTGGGATTGATTTTGGGGGTAATTGCCTCAATATTTTAGGAATAAGGGCCAAAAAGGGCAAAAAAAAAGCATTTTTCTAGTTTCAGGACAATAACTTGTGTGTAAGTGTATGGATCTTTCTGAAATTGTACTACAAGGTTCCATATCACAAAGGGAAAGCTGGGTTTGAGTTTGGGGTAATTGCCCTAAACGTTTAGGAATTTGGGGCCAAAAAGGGGCCAAAAAACACATTTTTCTAGTTTCCAGACAATAACTTGTGTTCAAGTGTATGGATCTCTCTGAAATTGTACTGCAAGGTACCATTCCACAAAGGGAAGGCTGGGATTGAGTTTGGGGGTGATGAATCATAAGGGGGTTCAAAAAATTTGGGGGGGGGATTTTTTTTTTCCTTTTTTTTTTTCTTTTAAAATTTTCCATTTTAAGTTGGTTATTTCTGATTTATATTTAAAAGCAAATAATAATGATATGGTAGGAGATACACACCAAACAGAATGTGTAACTTATTATATAATAAGTATTGTGCAATAGCAAGAAATTTTCAATTGTGCAGTATTGCACAATAGCAAGAAATCTTCAATTGCACAGTATTGCGCAATAGCAAGAAATCTTCAATTGCACAGTATTGCGCAATAGCAAGAAATATCCAATAGCACAATATTGCGCAATAGCAAGAAATTGTCAATTGTACAGTATTGCTCAATAGCAAGAAATATTTAATTGCACAGTATTGTGCAAAAGAAGATACTTCGTATAAATTGCTTATTTCTTGACCAATTTCAATGGGGTTTTATTCTTGAATTCTTGGGTTTCTTTAATATGCTGAATCTAACCGTGTATTTAGTTTTTTGGATTTTGGGCCCTGTTTTTAAATTTGTCCACAGTGAGGTCCAAAGGGTCCAAAATTAAACTTTGTTTGACTTTAACAAAAATTGAATTCTTAGGGTTCTTTGATATGCTGAATCTAAACATGTATTTAGATTTTTGATTATGGGCCCAGTTTTCAAGTTGGTCCAAATCGGGGTCCAAAATTAAACTTTGTTTGATTTCAACAAAAATTGAATATATGGGGTTTTTTGATATGCCGAATCTAACCATGTATTTAGATTCTTAATTTTTGGTTCCGTTTTCAAATTGGTCTACATTAAGGTCCATAGGGGTCCAAAATTAAACTTAGTTTGATTTTTTAACAAAAATTGAATTCTTAGGGTTCTTTGATATGCTGAATCTAAACATGTATTTAGATTTTTGATTATGGGCCCAGTTTTCAAGTTGGTCCAAATCGGGGTCCAAAATTAAACTTTGTTTGATTTCAACAAAAATTGAATATGTGGGGTTATTTGATATGCTGAATCTAACCATGTATTTAGATTTTTGATTTTTGGGCCGCGTTATCAACTTTGTCCACATTGAGGTCAAAAGGGTCCAAAATTAAACTTTGTTTGATTTCATCAAAAATTGAATTCTTGGGGTTCTTTGATATGCTGAATCTAACCATGTATTTAGATTTTGGATATTGGACCATAATAGGTGAATGTCCAATTTCAAATTTTTAAGTTCTTAGACCACATTCATTCTGTGTCAGAAACCTATGCTGTGTCAAATATTTAATCACAATCCAAATGCAAAGCTGTATCAAGCTTGAATGTTGTGTCCATACTTGCCCCAACTGTTCAGGGTTCGACCTCTGCGGTCGTATCAAGCTGCGCCCTGCGGAGCATTTTATTTATAAAATAAAAGGGGGTTTTCGCATGTCATGCCATATGTCAGAAACTATTTATGCTTATTGCATAAAAATTCACACACAAGACGACGGGCGTATCATGCGCTCATGGCGCAGCTGTTTATTATAAATAATGTGTACGTGTATTTGACAAGGGATAATTTTTAAAAGAAATTGAATAGTAAATCCTATAAGTTTAATATGATGAACAATTGGTATCTATGTGTTGTGAAGACAGTAAATATATAAATCATTGTTATTCTTTGTGTTTTCAAGAGATAGAAAATCTTGCTGCTGCTGCATTGCAATGGACAAAATGGTAATTTTTTTTAAACTTAAAACAACTTATAGTGAGGCTAGGCAATGTAAGAACGAAAGCAGGAATCAACAAATGATTAATTAATCTTACATCCCTGTTGGCTGTTATTCTGGCCACAAATAATAATTTGGAAAAGCTGTCTAAACATTGATTATCTTAATTATCGTTTATACCTCTTTGATCAATTATGTACCATATATACGGACCAAATTTTATATACATGTACATTTACCTTTTTATCCATATCATATTTATGTGCAAACATCAGATAAAATTAAATATAGAATTGAACTTTGACAATATTTAGGATTATGTCCCCTTTTTGTCATTTCAATGCTAAACATATGGATATTTTATAGAAAATCCACAGCCTTTCCCTTGTTCTCTGAAATTTGACAAATTGATACTTATTCTAGAGAGGATTACTGCATATAGTGCTATCAGTGATTTCCCTAAAGCAGGTTTTTTTAATATATGATACATTGAGTAACATCATTTGGTCTGTTTCTGTATCTAACAGACTTTGAATATTGAACTTATATTTACTTCCTTTTCCAGATTGTGCAGTTTAACCCTTGACAGGTTGCAGGTTTTAAAGGCCCTTGAAAATGATTTGGCAACAGTCATTATTGCTGTTAAAATGCAGGTAAATGACTCAATGTACATTTTGTAATATAAAATCACAATGAAATGAGCTCAGTATGGTAATTTTATGCTAGATGTTGAAACTGACAAAAACCGATCCATTAGCGTATCACCATTAAAAATGAGTTGTAGATATAATCAGAGGGTTTGTGGTGTAACAGGAAACATAATATTAGTTCCTTTTTACCAAAGAATGTTCAGTATTTGTAGACTACCAAATTTTCCAGAGATGTTGTGCTTATTTATAATATGTAGATGTGCATATTATATTTCGGTAAAATTCTGCAAATCAATTTTGGAAAAAAAATTGAGAAATGTCTTTTGTAAACTTTAAACTGCCAATGAAAATTTTTACAGTTGTTGTGCGTAATGTTTTGATGTGCCTTAGTATTATATTTTGGTGAAACTCGGCTCATCAATTTTGGAAAAAAACTTTGTTATTGTTGAAAATTCACAAATTTTGAGAAATATCTTCTTATAACTGGATTTTAACAAAAACTGATGCATGTGTGAATTAAGTTGATTGAGAAATTTAAAAAAATGGTAAAAACTTGCTTTTTTGTTAAAAGATCACAAATTTTGAGAAGCAGGACAAAATTGATATATAATACAGGAATAATATGCAATCCAATTTGTTTCCTCAAGTCAAAATTGTGTTGAAAACTTAGTTTTTCTTAGAAAAAAAGATTAATTTTGAGAATCATATTTCTTGATAGGATTTAAATGAAAACAGTGTCTTTTACCAAATGATTCTCTGTGTCAAAATTTTTGGTTGCCCACTATTTACAAAATGCCCAGCAAAATACATAGAGCTTGGATTTTAACAAAACAGTTATTAATTGAGAACACATCCTGAATTAATTGCTGGTGTCAAAACTTATGAAAATTGATAACCTACGAACATTTGCTGTGTATGCATCAGCTGGGCCCAGGCCCTTGCTGACATGTCAATTTTCTCAAGTTATTTAAAGAAAAGCTCTCTGTCTGATGTATTACAATCAATGTAATATTTTATAGGGTTCTAAAAGAATATTACGATCCAATGAGATATCAGTTCCTGCTAATGGATTATTAGATACAGAATTGGACTTGTCCTTCTCATTACAGGTAAGGTCATATTATCAGTGTTTATAAATTTAGTGTTTGTAGCCAGTTACAACAGGCACCATACATGTGTAAATTAATTGTTTCTTTTAAAATTTTTTGAAGGATTGGGGATTATCTGAAATGATGGTTGTCATGAATTTTTAGAGTAATAGGCATTTCAATTTTTAAAGTATGGGAGTCTAATTTTAATGCATGGGGGAACCTGTCCATCTGTATTTCCATTTGTCAAACAAATATTTCAGTAACAATTATTAAAGTTAATTTGGTTTAAACAATATTTTATTCAATAAGTCAAATCATGCTATATAATATAATACAGTATAAACAATGGGATTCAGAAACAAGCAACATTGCTTATTTTAATCTGTCTTCAAAAGAATGTTGACATACAATATAATGAATACTTGGAGCATGCTCTGTCAATTGGAATATATTAAGAATAGTAAATACAAAAAAAGATTGATTATATAGTTTGAGAAAAAAGGGAGAAAAAAAACAAAAACAAAAAACAAAAAACAAGTGATTGAAATGAGCTAAATGAAATGCAAGGAAAACATATAAATGATGCTTTCATATTATGGTGTGAATCTTTTACTTTTCAATATGTATTTTTGTACCAATACAAAAAGAGTATAATTTTCTTCAGCAGTTAACCAATCTGACCCAAAAAGCAAAATATTTACATCAATACGCTGCGGAAAATCAGCAAGAGAATTCAGTAGCACTTGGCGTATGTTAGTATAGTAAGGACATGTTAATAAAAAATGAGAGCTTGTTTCTATAGCACCACAACGACAATTTGGCGAATCCACTAAATTACGTAAAAATAAATCGGAGTTTAAAGCACTAGAGTTCATTCGCAAGCGTGCATGGAGAATTTGTCCAATGCGATTTCCAACATAATAATGTGTGGGAATTTATACATCAAATCCACATTTTGAAGAAATATATCCTAAACGATCAATTAACCAACCATTTCATATCCTCCTAGAGGTGAAAAGTGTCTTTACGGATTACATTTTCAAATTTTTCTTGGAGATAAAGAAAACACGTCCATTACCAGAACAGGCATGCGCAAAAAGTTAATTTTATAGAATATAGTATTGGTCAACCTCTTGACAGTAATGAGTTGAAATGTGTGAGACGTGTACTACATGTTTGATGATACTTTGAATTTTTATACGCCCGTTTACGGGACGTATTATGGTATACCGTTGTCCGTCTGTCTGTCCGTCCGTCTGTCCGTCCGTCTGTCCGTCGTCAACATGTCGGACATTAACTCAAAAATGCTTTAACCAATTTGCATAAAACTTTTGTGAATTGTTTATATCTATTGACGTGAGCTCCCTTTCGTTTTTTATAAATTTTAGATTTTACGTTTCCGAGTTATGGGGTTTTATTCATTAAAAAAAGGGGGATTTTCCAGTTTTCGGACAATAAGTCAAGAATGCTTTAACCAACTTGCAAGAAATTGTGGTGAATTGTTTATATCTATTGACATGAGCTCCCTTTCGATTTTTATAAATTTTAGGTGTTACGTTTCCGAGTTACAGAATTTAATCATAAAAAAGGGGGGATTTTCCAGTTTTCGGACAAAAACTCAAAAATGCTTTCAGCAATTCTTATGAAACTTTGGTGAATTATTTGTATGTATTGATGTAAGCTCCCTTTAGAATTTTATAAATTTTACATTTTACATTTCTGAGTTATGGGGTTTTATTCATTAAAAAAAGGGGTGATTTTCCAGTTTTCGGACAATAACTCAAAAATTCTGTCACCAATTCTCATGAAACTTTGGTGAATTGTTTATATCTATTGATGTAAGCTCCCTTTTTATTTTCATAAATTTCTAATATGACATTGAGAATTAATTGGAACTTTATTTGTTTATAGTCTGACAACAGATTTACTAAGTATTGCACAACAGCAAGAAATCTTTTAAATGAAAATTCAATTCATATAAACAATTTCAAGTTCTTTGACTACATTTATTCAGAAACCTATAATATGTCAAATATTTAATAAAAATCCAAATTCAGACCTGAATCAAGCTTGAATATTGTGTCCATTTTTGCCCCAACTGTTCAGGGTTGGACCTCTGCGGGCGTATCCAGCTGCGCTCAGCGAAGCAGTTTATTCAATATGTAACTGTTGAAGGAACTTAAATTTTTTTGTCGCACTAAATAAGTAATTGAGATGTTAACAATGCTGCATACAAATAATGCTATCAAATTTAAAATGTAATTAAGTAACACCTGTCTCGTGACCATTTTCGCAATAAATTTTTTTTCTGAATTTACAGTAACCTTATTGTTTGAAAATGAATAATCTCTCTCTACCATATTGCATATATATATACAGTGTCTAAAAATAGCAACAATCAACATTCAATCTATCTAGGCGTGGATCAGTTTGAAAATAAACTGATGTAGTTACTAAATTAAATTACATAAATGCCTAAGAATGTAACTTTAACACACTAATGAGTGTTATAAAAATAGTTGTTATATTCATGCAATATTTTGCTAAACAAATTAGCTTCATCAGGTGCATGCAGCCATCCAGGTAAAGATCGGATGCTGTATATATATATATATATATATATATATATTTAGACCCCTCTACCAAGAAATTTGTTTTGCATGCACACGTATAAAAATTGCGGTTGTTATCCAACGCAATCATAGGTTTGAACGTTGTTTTCAATTTAGACTATATATATATATATATATATATATGTGTGTGTTATAAATTTATTTTGCAGTATCCACATTACCTGAAGAGAGATGGTAATAACTTGCAAGTGATGCTACAGAGAAGAAAGAAATATAAAAATAAAACAATTCTGGGTTACAGAATTCTGGCTATTGGACAAGTGAACATGGATCAGGTAAAACTTTTTATGCCACCTCCGTAGCGGTGAGGGCATTAAGTTTTACCCTTGTCCGTACATACGTCCCAAAATTGGTTCCGTTCTCTAACTTGAGTTTGCCTCAACCACTTAGCACTATGGTAAATTTAAATGGGTAATTATGGTTGCAAATTCCATTGGAAATTTGAATTGAGATTATGACCATATCTTGAGGGAAAGATTTTTTTGGGGGAAAAAGGGGGGGGGGGGGGGGGGGGGTAAAAAGAAATTGTGGGGGGTCAATTTTTTCTCATTTCAGATTTCAGAAATTAAAAAGAATTATTCTTCAAATATTATTTTTTTTTCAAATTTCAAATATTGAAAAATTTCAAAAAGTAATCTTTAATTGCACAGTATGGCGCATAAGATTTGTAAAATCTTTGACCACATTTATTTATTTGTTATGCCGAATCTGACCATGTATTTAGATTTTTAATTTTGTGTCCAGTTTTCAAATTGGTCTACATTAAGGTCCAAAGGGTTCAAAATTAAACTTAGTTTGATTTTAACAAAAATTGAATATATGGGGTTCTTTGATATGCTGAATCCAAACATGTATTTAGATTTTTGATTTTGGGCCCAGTTTTCAAGTTGGTCCAAATTGGGGTCCAAAATTAAACTTTGTTTGATTTCAACAAAAATTGAATATATGGGGTTCTTTGATATGCTGAATCTAACCATGTATTTAGATTTTTATTTGTGGGTCCCACTATCAAATTGGTTCATATTGAGGTCAAAAGAATCCAAAATTAAACTTTGTTTGATTTCATCAAAAATTGAATTATTGGGGTTCTTTGATAGGTGTCTTCCCGATTGTCCCACTTTTTGAAATTACAGGTAAAAAAGTAATGAAATTTTGTGGGACAATCGGGAATATGTTTGTGGGACAATTGGGAAGTTTAAATGTGGGACAATTGGGAATTGTTTTGATAGTGATTAATTTGTTTTTATAGTCTGTATCAGTTAGTTACAGGTTACTAATCACTGTAACTTATAAAATATGAAAAAAACCATGAACAAATAATAATACTTACATATTATATTTTGCACATACATGTAGTAGGTACAATTGAAGTATCATCAAACATGGAATATAATATGAAATCATAAAATTTTAGTCTTAAATGCATGATTTTTTTAATTAGTTTTTATTGGCTTTGAACTAGCTGTCAGTAACTGCGAGTACTCTAAGATCTGTACTTAGTGTCTTTGTTGTGGGGATGTATAAGTAGCCGTCCACGTCCATGTCCACTCTGTGATTTGTTAGATGTATTTCTGTCTGTACCCATCTGATGAGATAAGCCTTTTTCAACTTATTTTTTTTAGTTTATTCTTATGTTGTACTGTTACAACACTGTCCCAGGTTAGTGGGAGGATTGGCGCCTTCAAATAAGTTTAACCCCGCCACGTTCTGTATGTGTCTGTCCTAAGTCAGGAGCCTGTAATTCAGTGGTTGTCGTTTGTTACTGTGTAACACATTTTTTCTCGTTCATTATTTTGTACATAAATTAGGTCGTTAGTTTTTCTAGTTTGATTTTTTTTTTACATTTTTCATATGGGACCTTTAAAGCTGACTCTGCTGTATGGGCTTTGCTCATTGTTGAAGGCCGTATTGTGACCTATAGTTGTTAATTTCTGTGTCATTTAGTCTTTTTTTGGAGAGTTGTCTCGTTGGCAATCATACCACATCTTTTTTTTATGGAAGTCTGGTTCTTCTTTATAGTTGGTGACGAGTCCTGTTGACTGCACTTTATGGCAAAGACACTGGGAATATTGGAAAAACAACCTTTGATATTGATTCTTAGAAAGGCTGATCTGGCAGAATTCTAGACAACAGCTTCGTTATCAAAAAAAGGAAGTTGTTGGGTTCAGGTGAATCTGACGTTGGGTGTTAGCAGTCTTCAATAGTGCAGAGAATGTTGTATTAATGTCCTCTGACTTCCCTAGTAAAATTGTAAAGACTTCTGGAAAATGGAAATCTCTCCATCAACAAGTTCGTGTAAAGTGTAGAATGTAAATGAGTTTATACCTTTTTTTTTAAATTGCATGCATTATTTATTCAAAAACTTTATAGAGAAAATGTAATTAAAATTACGGTATTGAAATTTGTTTTATAAATAACGTAAAATTGTATATATATTTCATAAATCAGAAATAAATGTTTTTTAATCAAAAGTGCATTAATCTAATGATTTAAAAAACATTTTGTTTATACTTCTATAAAATTAATATTAAATGTGCAATAAATTAATTCTTGTTTATTTAGCAAAACAAACAACAGTTACATTGTTTATCTAAGAACATTTTACTTCATAAAATAATGTGGGACAATCAGAACTTTTCATGTGGGACAATCAGAACTCTAAAATTTTAAAAAGTGGGACAATCGGGAATAAACCCTTTGATATGCCAAATCTAACCGTGTATTTAGATTTTTGATTTTAACAAAAATTGAATTCTTGGGGTTCTTTGATATGCTGAATCTAAACATGTGTTTAGATTTTTGATTATGGGCCCAGTTTTCAAGTTGGTCCAAGTTGGGGTCCAAAATTAAACTTTGTTTGATTTCAACAAAAATTGAATATATGGGGTTCTTTGATATGCTGAATCTAACCATGTATTTTGATTTTTGGACCCCGTTATCAGATTGGTCCACATTGAGGTCAAAAGGGTCCAAAATTAAACTTTGTTTGATTTCATCTAAAATTGAATTCTTTGGATTCTTTGATATGCTGAATCTAACCATGTATTTAGATTTTGGATATTGGACCATAATAGGTAAATTAAAAAATTTTAAGTTCTTAGACCACATTCATTCTGTGTCAGAAACCTATGCTGTGTCAAATATTTAATCACAATCCAAATTCAGAGCTGTATCAAGCTTGAATGTTGTGTCCATACTTGCCCCAACTGTTCAGGGTTTGACCTCTGCGGTCGTATCAAGCTGCGCCCAGCGGAGCATTTTATTAGAATTGGAGTTATCTTCCTTTGTCCATGATTATAGTTGAATCAACTACAATCAATGCTTTATACAATGCAATGTTTAATTTTGACTTCCATTGATAAAACACAGATCAAGTTGAATTTGGGTAGTGTCACTTTAACCATTATTCGGTTATGCCCCTTTATAAATCGAAAGATTGCAAAATTTTTAGTTTCCATTCTGTAACTTAACCCTTTCCCTTTCACACCGGTACAGCTTACCGGTGAAGCAAATTTTAAGATATTTTTGGGGCATTTAGTCTTGTTCCATCGTCATTTGCTGACGTACAGATATGGTTAAGGGCTCAAATCAATCCTCAGGATACCAGCAATATGATTGAATGTGCATCAAACTTCTATCATTATCAGTTCATAGTCAATTCGCCTCTTACTGACATGTATTTATTCTGTAAAAACCTTTTTTTTTCTTCGAATTTTAAAGAATATTTTCAAAAAGAAGTGCATAGAAAACTATCCTTTTTGGGGGAATTATGACTTTTTTTAATAACTGTGCAGTGAGTTTTTGAAGAATGGTATTAAAATAATAGTTCTAACTTGTACACTAGTTAAAAATGTAATTTTTAGTGTACCAGCGCAAACACAAACTTGAAATGCGCTAAAAATCCGTAGTCATTTCTTAAAGATTTTATCGTAAAAGAGATAAAAATCACTGAAATGTCCTGAATTTTTTAGCAAAGTTGAAATAGATGTAACAAAACATGGTTTCGTAAGTGTTTGGGTATGATAAAGTTGAAAACACTTTTGTTTAAATGAAGGAAAATGTATATGTCAATGGAAACAAGACAGATTAAGAACTGGATTCCTGCTATATTTGCGCAAAAACCATGCATTTGGCCATTTGGCATCAAAAATATATTATCTGAACACATAATTTCTAATAGAAAACAAGCTGGGTGAGGATCTTCATATGTTTTTTTTTTTCACGTCTTGAGTAGTAGACTTAAGTACTTAAATTTCAATATATTCCTAACGATGCCGGTGGTGCAGGGGTATGCTGAACAAACCCAAGGCGGAAAGATCGCGTGTTCGATTCTCACTGCCGGAGGTTGAAAAATTATTTCCTATATTAAATGTAACTTAACTCAACTTTACTTTCAATTTCAAAAAGAAAAACCAACGAAATACTTATGTTTGTTTTTAAAAGAATGTGTGTGCCAAATTGCCCCCCCCCCCCCTATTGCCCCCATTTACTTCCTCGGGTTCGGTCCAGGGTACGCCACATCGAGTTATCATTAGTAATTCAATGAATTTTCCCTTAGAAAAACAAAATTTAGGTTACTGCTTGACTGAAATCGATTTAGACAAAAAACTAGTGTCCGAGTTTGAAATTGGACGAAAAGAGCGTCTGAAATCAGTTATTTTGAATGTTACGGACATCGAGATTTCAAGGCATATAGCACGCATTTCCTCTTTTAATACCAATATGATAACTTGTATTTCTTTAACAGACTTGGGGCATTGTGTTTCCACCAAAACCTTACCCTATTAGCGCAACAATATGTCTCTACACGACTTTTGTCCCAAGGATTTCGTATTTTTTCACATTTTCTCCAAAAGTCACGTGACATTTCGAAACATCCCACGTGACCAAAAAAGGACGAATTATCTTTTAACGTAATTTTCTGAAATATTTGATCTATTATCTTTCATATGAGCCCAACATGGCATGTGCATGACCATTGGTGCGAATGCAGTATTCAATTGAACTTTGATAGTGTCTTTTTGATAAGTAAAGGTCTAAAATGCCTGAAAGGGAAAGGGTTAAGCCAATTAAGCCAATTAACCCTTTCCCTTTCACACCGGTACAGCTTACCGGTGAAGCAAATTTTAAGATATTTTTTGGGCATTTAGTCTTGTTCCATCGTCATTTGCTGACGTACAGATATGGTTAAGGGCTCAAATCAATCCTCAGGATACCAGCAATATGATTGAATGTGCATCAAACTTCTATCATTATCAGTTCATAGTCAATTCGC